TGGGGAGTCGGTTGGGGACACGGTGAAGAGGCTGCCTCGTTGCTTTCCCATTATGAAAGCGTAAGAACTACATCCTCCAGAGAGAAATGGGGACACAGGATTGGACACCCTCTTTCTGAAGATGAGACTCACTCTTAGAAGCTAGAAAAGAGACAGAAAACAAAAGCAATCACAAAGGGAAAAATGCAGAGATGGAAATCAGAAAGTTTAATATTGAGCAACTTACAATTTTGGAAAGAGCCGAGTCAATAGAAAAGCTACAGAGATTTGTGGCGGTGGTTGACTGTCATTGAGTAAGACGCTGACTCACAGCAATGCCATGCACACAGAACAAAATGCTGCCTCTTCCTGCGCCAACCTTGTGATCCAAGTAGGACCATAGTGCTGCATGGGTTTTCATCGGCTGATTTTTGGAAGTCGAGCTCCAGGCCTTTCTTCCTACTCAACCTTAGTCTGAAATTGCCACCGGAGCCTGTCAAATGCCACAGCAACACATAAGCCTCCATTGACAGACGGGTGGTGACTGCGCATGCGGCACATGGGTCCAATTTAGTTCTCCCACATGGGATGTGTGGGTTCTACTACTGAACACCAATGTCCCAGTGGGATATGTAGGAAAAAAAATAAAGGTCACTAAGAAATGCCATGATGGAGAAGAATGAAGGTAAACAAAATAACAAAATGTTCCATGGAGACATGGAGGATAAAGAATGAGGAAAAACCACTGGCTTTCAGGCAAAAGGGATGGGCCACAAAACAGGCTGCAAGAGCTATGTGGATCACAGAGAGCCATCATTTCAGAAGACTGCCCCATCTATGAGTCCATGCTCCCATGTTGTTCTTGAACAACTATGCAATAACGAAAGCCCTTTCTTTTTATCGAAGACTTGGTTCAGATCTAAGGAATCAAGGAAAACTCGTGAGCCAGTGAATGAACAAAGTCCAACCAGGCCATGAACAGAGCTAGCACTGGGGAGAGGGGATCATTCTGGCTGCGAATTGAGAGGGTGGGCTTGGTGAAGAAGAAATTCGAGCCTGGCTCCCGGCCATTTTGCGTCCGGGTAAGAGACTGAATCATGAAATGGAGAACTGCACATTTGCCATCCCATGGCAGAGGACCTGGTCTGGTAGGAAGCTTTAGGGAAGGGTGGCAGTTTGTATCAGTCTCTGCCCAAACACTAAAATTTCAACCACCAAGAGAGAAGCTGAACCAAATAGAAACCCAAACAGATTTTTGAAACAAACAAACAAACAAACAAAACAAACGTGAAGGGGAATACACACTGATTAAGTGTGTATTCACTTAATGAATCCCCGTGAATCCCCTCTAACTGGACCAGAGATGTGAATAGCCTTGCTAACAAGGAGCACGCATGGGGAAATGAATGGTCGCAGATGCAGTAGGTTAAAATGCAGCACCCTGTTATTTTATCTCACTTATGATCCACTTAAATTTGTTCCAGTTTTCAGTATTTTCTGTATTTTAGTATTTGTTCCAGTTTTTAGTATTTTGATTGAGGTTTTGATCTGTTTTACTTTGTTATTTTTGTTTGTTTTAAAAACTGTTTTTCTGTATAGGAAATCCAGGGTAGATAAATCTATAGAGACAGGAACTGGATTAATGATTTCTTGGGGGAGTGGCAGATAGGCAGTTGTAGGGAAATTGAGTGCTAATAACAGTAAGTACAGAATGAAGAAAATGATCACCAGGAGGTACATGTAAACCGCTCCCAGGGGGACAGACAACAGAAAAGTGGGTGAAGGTAAATATCTGTCAGTGTGAGACATGAAAAAAAAAATTATCAAGGGTTGATGAGGAAGGGCGGGGGAGGGGGGAAATGAGTGATACCAAGGGCTCAAGTACAAAGAAAATGTTTTGAAAATGATGATGGCAACATATGTACAAATGTGCTTTACACGATGGATGGATGGATGGATGGATGGATTGTGATAAGAGGTATACGAACCCCCAAGAAAATGATTTTTTTAAACAATGAAGAAAATGTTCTAAAACCAATTGTGGTGATTATTGTACAACTTCTCTTGTGTGACTGAACGATTGAATTGTATAATATGTAAATTACTGTATATGTTGGGGGTGGGGAGAGGAAAGAAACCCAAACTGATATGTACTCCCTTCTGATCCTGATTCTGAACCCCAGCTTTCAGTTTATCGGGCTGACGCAGACTCTGCTGTGCTGTATCAGTGTGCACACCTGCTCATCTGGAGCTTTCCTGACATGCGCGCTTGGTTGGGAACTAGAGTGTCATGGCCGAGCTTAAGCTGATCTCTTAGAGTGCGTCTGCACCTGCTCTTTGAGCGAATGAATGGTTGCCTTGGAAACCAACCTTTCTTAAATCCAATCCTGTGCACTTGGGTCAGCTTCTTACTTCATTTTCTTTCTCTTATTGCTCCAGAAATGACTGGCCTCTCCTGTGTTCACAGATCTGAGTTTTTCTAAAGATCAATAACATGTTGTATTTCTTTTGCCTCTGCAAAGACTCTTAAGAGAGAGCATTTGTCTACTCATAGCTGTGTAGGGGTCGAAGGACATGTTGAGGTTCTCGTCATGGCCCAAAGATGGGAGGAGAGTATGGACAGCCACAAAGTGACTACACACTGAAATACAATCATCCTGAGTTAGAGCTGGGAATAAAAGGTTAGGGAGTATATGGCGTTCTAGAGGGCAACCTAGAGCTGGGCCCAGGATTTGAGAGCAAGAACAAGCACAAGCATGAGGAGACATGGCAGGGTTGTCCCATTTGTAGTACATAACTGGCCTTTTGCAATTTCAGCTATTCCCTGAGAACCAGGATGTCACTACCAGTCTCCACTGTAACAGGTCGATGGGAAGAATTTGCTTCAGAATACAGTTGGAAATGAGGAGCAGATGTTTGTTCTCAGGAAAAAGATAGACTCACCAGGGGTTATTTTGTTGGTTAGTGGCCATCAAATTGGCTCTGCTTGACAGCGCCCTCTGTATCACAGAATGAAATGCTGCCCGGCCCTGCATCATCTTCGAGATGATGGATGCTGTGTGCTTTGAGTGCCTTCCAGCCTAGTGGACTTATCGCCCAGCACGAGATTGAACGGTAGACTGTTGGGATCTAGAAGGCTTTCCTTGTCTAGTTTCCCAAAGCAGATCTACAGGCCTTTCTCCCTAGTCTTAATCTAGAAGCTCTGCTGAAACCTGTCCACGAGGGGTGACACTGTTGGTATTTGAGATGTGGGCCACATACTTCCCTGCCTCAGAGCATCAAGTAAACCACCCAGTGCAGCAAACTGACAGGGGATGGTGGTGCTTTCCAGGCATGACCATGGTTCTAAGTGCTCCCTGGCGACAACCAGAAACAAAGTGCCTGATTTCTCTGCAATGCTCAGCTCCCACAGCCCTTACCTTTTCTTGGCCTCTTCCCCTTGAGTTAGGGCAGCACTTATTCAAATAAGTTATCACCTACCGCCATTCCATTGAAGCAAACCCTACTAGGATAAGGAGCGGATGGGGGATACTCCTCAAACTGTAAAGTGCATTACAACCTGAGGGTCTTGTTGAAATGCATATCCTGATTCTTTAGGTAGAGGATCAGGCTTGAGATTCTTCATTTCTTCCAGGATCCCGCTGATCCCCATTCCTTAGTGTAGCAAGTGTAGTGTAGTGTAGATTCCTTAGATATAAAACATTCATAATGCCGAATTTCCCCTGAAACTGCATAGCTCCTCCCTCCTTGTAATTCTGTCCCTAACACCCTGTAAAGAGTAGCTGGATGCTTCACCTCTAGAGTAGGGATTGGTAGAACCGTCCCTCTTAGGATGTAATGAGGTTACGGGAATAAACACTCCCTACCCACTACTCTACCACCCCTCGTAGGTACAGTCATTCTAATGCCTTTGCCCATCTTTTCCTATTCTGCTGGGTCATAACAAACGTGTCTGCATTAGGGAGTCAAGTTCATGTGCACATAGGAGGAGAAATAAGGCAATCCAACTTTTGTGAAAGCTTGCTCACCAGGGTTAAGGTACCATCTCTTTCAGTTCAGATCTGGACTGCAGGATGAGGCAATTCTCTTGACACTCATGTTGGTGACCTTGCAGAGACAAAGGCTTGGCCATTGTCACTGGCTCTTAGGAGTTGGGCAGGAGTGTTAGACTTCGTTACTGGGCCCCAGGGCTACTGCTGTTCTGTACATCCTGGGGACACTGGGTTAGTTCCTGAGCATGTCCTGAAGATTTGGGGCAGGATTTAATTAGCTCTTTAATGTTCTGGTAGAGAGCCATTACTGAAACTTGTCAGTCAAAACAGGTTTAAAGTACTATCACTTAATTGAGCTAGACAGTTGTGATGGCTAATTTTATGTGTCAACCTGGCTAGACTATGGTTTCCAGGATTTGGGCCAAACGTCGTCTCTTTGCTGTTCCATAATGTAATCTAATGTCATGGAATCACTTTCATAATATGATATAATCAATCAAGAGGTCCATTTGGACTCAGAGTGACCCCGTAGCACAGGGGAGGGCTGCCCCTGTGGGGTTTCTGAGACTGTAACCCTTTAGGGAAATAGAAAGCTCCATCCTTTCCCCTCCGAGCTTCTAGTGGTTTCGAACTGCTGACCTGTGGTTAGCAGTCCCACAAGCACTCCACCACCAGGGAGAGACGTTCTCAGAAGGAATTTGGGTTGCTGAGATTCTGGTCTAGGCTGTTAGCCTGTAGGACTGTGAGAAAGTCAATGTTGGTGTTGTTAAGCCACCCACTGGTGTTTCTGTCACAGCAGCCCGAGGAAACCAAGACACCAAATAAAAGCTGAAAGCAAATCTTCAAGTGCAAGGTAAGGATGATGGCACTTGCAGGACTCAGTCAGGATCTCCTGAAAGTCTGCATCCTCAGTGCTTTGCTCCCACTCCCGCCCCTCCCTTTTCCAGCCTGGATCCAGCCCTGATCTTGGGGGGACAATACTTAGTAGGTGAAACAAAGGAGGGGTGTAAAGTTCATAATAGCCCTTACCTGTAACCAGTCTCCCACCGAGAAATGAGGAGGACAATCTGTTCTGGCACAGGACTTATGAGACGACACCTTGGGGCCCTGGCACAATTCATCTGAGAGATTCAGAAAGCTGCCATCTGTCAACAGCTGCCGGCAAGTGACTCTTCGGTTCTGAGTTCCCCCACCGCACGACCTGGAACACTGAAGAGACAGGAAGAGACGAGTTTCTCAGGTCTGTGTAGCCCACTCCATGTGAGGGCACTGCTGTGCTCTGCACTTTCTAAGTGGGCTGAGCCGAGGAGGCCGCTCTGTCATACCTGCTGCCAGTCTTCAATGTGCCAGCCAGGTGGGCAATCAAACTGATTGCATGCTTGCAAGGCATGGGGCTTTTCCACTCGACATGCCTCGGGAGGGGCAAGGGAGTCTCCAGGGTGCAGGCAGTACACGTCTCGGGTCTGAATTCCAACACCACAGGTAGCTGAGCAGGGCCCCCAGGAGCCTGTGTGCCACCTAAGTCAAAACAAAAGTGGGAAATGGAATTATCCAAAGGGATTGTGCGGGGCAACCAGCGGCTGAACGATTCCAAGTGCTCTGGCCTTCCAGAGCTCACGATCTGTTCAAAGATCCCAGAGTCTATGGGTGATACTCCACGGGGAACCAAAAGTCCAACCAGAGGTACCTTGGAAGAAAGACCAGGAGGTCGACTGCTGGAAAGGCTATGAACAAAGTTCTACTCTGACACACATGACTGTGAGGATGATGCGAGGTGGGCCATATTTCAGTCTGTTGACCATAGGATTGTTTTGAGCCAGAATCGATTCAATGGGCGTCGAAGAACACAGCTGACGCACACAGAGCCACGGTGTGCTGGGTCAACGCAACAGCAACTCGGTCTGCGTGAGGTTTACACAGATCCTAGCACCACCGTGTTCCCATCAACGCATCCATTTACAATATAGAAATATAATGCTTGCAGCAAGACATGCCAAGAGAATATTTACAAATCCTACCCATTTGGGAAGGTCCAGAGTCAAAAGAAGTAGGTTCCTAACAGGCTTGTCTTACCACCATAGATCAGTAATAAAATTTTGGTTTGTTTTGAATAGAACCCCTAGGCAATGATGATTTATATAGGTGTCAAAGGAAATTTTAAATACTTAAAAACACACTTTGAAGAAATCTTCTGGGCACCTGGATTCATTATTTGGAATGTCCCAAAGAAAATCATTTTATGTTAGGATTGGATTTATAACACGCATATAATGTGATTCGTTTCCAATAATATCTTGGAAAAATCAGGTTTTCTCATGAAACATCTGTAAAAATGGGAAACCAGGACAGCTGCTTTTGATACATTTTTCCAAGCTGCCTTTAAGGAATCTTTTCCCAATTTATATGCCCACCAGAAATATATGAGAGGACCCGGTTTCTCACACCCCTGTCCATGCTGCAGTCTATTATTCTTAATATGTCTGCACAGCCGATTTGTGGAAAGCTGTACATTACGCTATGAGTCGATTCTCAGAACGGACTCAATGGCACTTAACAATGAATTAACTAATAAAGGTAGGAACAAGACAAATGATTTTTAAACATTTAATATGTACATAAAAGGATGTTTGCTCAGGGAAGTTTGTTATAGGAGAAAAAAAGATTTAAACAGAAGGAGGCAACTGAAATGTTTAACTCTAAGGTATAAAGCAAATTAACGTCCATTCACAGAAAGCAATGCTAGCAGGCATTAGAAGAGGTGTGGTTATTTACATAGGGACCTGGTCATGATGTATTTTTATTAGAAAAGAAAAGGCAAATCAGAAAACAGCTTGGGGAGTCTAACCATGGTTGTTGTTGGGTTTTTGTTTTTTTTTGTATTTACTAATACATGCTTAACCATTATTTCTTTTTTCCAGCTGATAAAGCACTTAAATTGGCATATAATTCATATACAATTTAATAGTTCAATTATAGTGAGAAGAGTGTGTAATCATCACCACAGTCCACTTTACAACATTTTCTTCTTTCTTATATTTTTTGTTAATTTCTCAATTTCTCCTAACCTCCTCTGCCATGTCCCTAGGTAATGATTAATATAGCTATTGACTATGGATTTACCTATCTTAGATCTCACATATTAAAGAACATACAAAACAAAATCAAGAAACAAAAAAGACAACAAACAAAAAATCCAGCAATAATGAGAAAATAAAACACAGAAAAACTTCAATGAAAACAGAAGCATAAAATATTAAAAACTAGAACAAATTTAAAATCCATCAAAAGGGAGACCAACTAATAAGGTGTTACACTTTAACTTAACTTCACCAGTCATAATCAACTTAACAATGTCCTCTATCAGATAGCAAGGCTATTTTAATCTGTGGACTGTGGGGAGAGGCTTAATCCTTGTGCAAACCCTACAAATGGATTGTGGGTTTCCACTATCATACAAACTTGACTTTCAGAATTTAAGCTCTGATCCTGCTTTCCTCCTCTGGATTTGGATTTTATTATTTATAAAACTTGGATCATACGAAGCGGTGTTTTTTCCAAGTGAACCTAGTTGACACCTCACTTAGACGGCTGCTTGTTTTGAGACAAGACTTTAAGACTCCAGGTACTATTCTTTCAGATAGCCACAGTCTCTGATTTCTTCACCACACTGTGCTATAGCGCTCATCTCTCCAGTGATCTCTCCAAAGGCTAGCCATTATTTCTTAATTCCATTTTTTCCAAAGACTTTTTGAAGCCCCCCTCCTCTACATAAGGAATACAAATTTTATATATAGTGATGGTGTCTAAATCCTAAATAAAATAGAAACAATTTAATCAAAGGATTAAAGCAATACAGAATATGCTTTCTTATTATGGTGCAATTAAACTAGAAAAATCCCTAAATATTTAAATTATTATTTAATTATTTAAAATTTAAAGCAATGAGTATTTAAATTATTCATGGGTGAAATAAGGAATTATCATAGAAAATAGATAGTATTCTTTACTTCTGTTTGTTTGTTTTTTCCAATGCAGGATTGAAGAATGTCACCTCTATGTTAATAAAACGATGAAATACAAAACCGTGTGGGATACATGCAGTTAGAGCCATGATCAGAAGAGGTTAACAAGAGAACAGAAAATTAACCCAAAGAAAGGACAGAGCACAATGTGAATGAGGGGAGTGTGGAGTAGAGATCCAAAACCCATCTGTAGACAATTGGACATCCCCTTACAGAAGGGTCACAAGGAAGAGATGAGCTAGCCAGGGTGCAGCATAGCACTGATGAAACATACAACTTTCCTCTAGTTATTTAAAGTTTTCTCCCTCCCTCTATCATGACCCCAATTCTACCTTACAAATCCATCTAGACCAGAGCATGTACACTGGTATAGATAAGAGCTCACAACACAAGGAACTCAGGACAGATAAATCCCTCAGGACCAATAATGAGAGTAAGGATACCAGGAGGAGAAGGGGAAGGTGAGGGGAGAACGGGGGAACCAATCACAATGATCTACATATAACCCCCTCCCAGGGGGACAAGCAACAGAAAAGTGGGGGAAGGCAGACAGTGGTTGGTGTAAGACATGAAAAAAATATTATAAATAATCAAGGGTTCATGAGGGAGTGAGGGTGGGGGAGGTGGGAAAATGAGCTGATACCAAGGGCTCAAGTAGAAAGAAAATGTTTTGAAAATGATGAAGACAATATATGGACAAATGTGCTCAACACAATGGACGTATGCATGGATTGTGATAAGAGCTCTAAGAGCCCCCAATAAAAGAATTTTAGAAAGAAAAAAAGAAAGGACAGAAGCAATAAAGATGAGAAGAGAAACGTGTGAAGTAGCTAACAACCAAAAGTGGCTTTTTCAAAAGACGAATACAGTTGACACATTGATTGTGGCATATGAAGGAGAAGTGGTGAAAATAAACAGTGCCCTGTGAACCGACGGGGCTCTACTCTAGTCACAGGAGATCACTGTGAGTCTGAATTGATTTGATGGAACTAAGGACACCCTAAGAGAAAGGAAGACGTGGGGCATTATGTGAAATCCTAGGTAAGGGAGACTCAAGAAGCCCTCAAGATGGTACTGAAGGGAGGTGAACACTGTTGGGCAAGGCTTGGAGAGCAATCCGTTCACCTTTTCCTGGTGGAGCAGGAGGATGGGAGATCCTAAAAGGAGAGAGATCCCTAAGAAAGCGATGCCGCAAAATGTGATGTGCTGGAATGTGCTGAGATATTTATTCTCAGGTAGAGATTTTGAGAATAAATCAATGATAAGAGCATAGAAACGGAATGAACCGAAAAATATTAAGGCAATTTTCAACTGCAGAGGAAAACAGATTCTGAATCAAAAAGGAAGTGCAAGCTACTTATGTTTAAAAACTGGATGCTCATACAATACAAATACACATGAACTATATTTGGAAGATGAATAAAGGGGAAGTGTGGCAGTTACATAATCTTCTGTAAACTGGAGTGAAGGGGAAGAGTCTAGCTTGTCAATCAGCTCATAGCCAATGATGACTCTGGGTCGGCATGGCCTTCTCCTGAGGATTCTGGGAACTCCTGTCTTCTTCCCTGGAGGCAGGACACACACTCTCAGCCTTCCTTTTCCTGCTGTTGAGACATTCAGAGAGCTCTGGAAGACATGTGGAGACCCGTGCCAGTGATGAGATGTTTCCACTGCCACTGGATCCACAAGACTTTCTACCCACTGGCTTGTAATCTTCCTCCATTTGGCATCATTGCATGTGCTGCATGAGTCTAAAGAGGAATATGGGCTAATATTGGCCTTATGGACTTGATCTGGACTGGATTGGGATGTTTTCTCAATATACAATTGCTCTTTCTTATGCACATATGTGTCTATGAATTTGTTTCTCTAGTCAACCCGGACTAACACAGGAAGTATATGCAATTATATGCGTGTTTTCATTTTCAGTGTGTTTTTTTATGTCTTGCATGTATATAGGCAAGTATATATGCTTTGGAGAATTTGTAAGAATAAATGGTCATCTTCTATTATGTGAAGTCACACGTACTATCTTCATTTGAGCAAATAGCAGTGGTTTGTTGTTAGGTGTCACCAAGCACGTTCTGACTCATAGACAGTGACCTTACATACAAGAGGATGAAATACTGCCCAGCGCTGCACCAACCTGACAACTGTTAGGTTTGAACCTGTCATTGCAATCACCGTGTCAATCCATCCCATCGACGGCTGTCTGCTTTTTGCCTGATCTCTACTTTACCACTCCTGATGTCCTTTCCCAGAGATTGGTGAGACGTGCATTCTGGCTGTACTTCCTTCAAGACAGATTCGTTTGTTCTTCTGGCAGTCAATAGTACTTTCAATATTCTTTGCTAACACCACTGGTTCACCTGAAAATTCTTTAAGTTTTTGTTTTTATCAAATAAAGTTGTGTCATTTACATATTGCAGATTGTTAATGAGTCTTCCTCCCATCCTGATTTTGCATTCTTCTTCATATAGTGTAGTTTCTTGGATT